TGAAAGGTTTAAGTCAAATTTCTTCGGGAAGAAAAAAAGTAAACGTCAAAGATGTTTACTCATTTCATTTGGTTTAATTATTTTTATTTATGTAGTGTGTTATTATTTATTATTTTTGTTAATAAAAGTATATTTTTTTTCAAAAATTTTCATCATGCAATTTTAAATTTTAATCATGAATATATTTAAAAATATATTCAAATCAATAAGTGTGTCAAATATATTTAGCACACCAAGAGATATCCTTATAATACCAATGGAAAAAATTATATTTAAAAACACAAATATTAATATGTTGTATGCTTTTAGTTCGTTGCAATAATTTTACCATTCCATGCTGTTATTTTCGTAAAAACCAGCACCTCATCTTATTTGCTTAACATTGTTAAAGGTTCACTTAATCGTCAATCCTAACATTACCTATTATGATTCCTCTTTTATTAATTAATAAAGTGGATCTCATTTTTCTTTTTGTATAACATTACCTATTATGATTCCTCTTTTATTAATTAATAAAGTGGATCTCATTTTTCTTTTTGTATTTTGTTATGACGGATGTAAGAAAGGCATATCAAAATATTTACATTTTTTTAATTAAGTGACAAATTATGCTTTATTTACTCATGTGTGTACATTGACTAGTATATATATATATATATATATATATATATATATATATATATATATAGTCTATAGGTATAAATTGTTTATAATGGTTTTTTTGGCAAACCTCAGGGAGTATTACTGTACTATATCCTTTATTTTATTATTTATTATTATTATTATTAGTATTAATACAAAAACATTCAGTATTTTAGCACATTAATTTATTTAATAATATATTAATAGGAAATAATGTAATGTCCCGAATTTCTAAATAAAATCATCAATTTATTCAAATTCAAATATATTATTATATACACACGATCTCAAAAAGAAATAAAATATTTTTTATTAATACAAATCAATTTCCTTAAATAAATGCAAAATCTCTAACAACACTAACTCTTCCACCTAAGCCTGCAACTAAAAATTTTCAAACATTCTCAATACCTACAATTGTAGGGGATGAGACAGGAAAGTCCCAGTAAGAAAAATTATAACAAGAATTTAAAAAGTGTTTCATGAAAATCAGTCTCACAAAATATACATATACTTTTAAACAAAATACATATATGCAATTTTAATAAAATAACATTAACAAAATATAAAAATGAGTGTCACAAAATATACATATGTTTTTAAACAATATATATATATATATATATATATATGTAATTTTAACAAAATAATATTAACAAAATATTTGAAATAAAAATCATCCACAAGATATAAAAATTCCTCTGCAAAATAAAGAATTCAACACTGTGTCATCAATATCTCTGTCCATCTCGGTTTATCTCTCTTATCTGGGTTAAAATTATATATATATATATGTAATTTTAACAAAATAATATTAACAAAATATTTGAAATAAAAATCATCCACAAGATATAAAAATTCCTCTGCAAAATAAAGAATTCAACACTGGGTCATCAATATCTCTGTCCATCTCGGTTTATCTCTCTTATCTGGGTTAAAAAATATCGCTCTCATGCCTTTCCTCTAATTTTTATCTTCTGTGTATCATTACTACTTATCAGTGCACACAATACTCATTTAAATAGGCAAACCAGCGACCCAACAACGTAATCTCCAACAGCTCACCGTCACACTTCCATCATCAGACAATATCTATATTTGCCAAAAAGTCCAAGTAGGACCCGCGTACACATCACAATCTCCTTTCTCTCTCTCTCTGTTTTTTTTTTTCCTTTCCTTTTCCTCTCCAATACGGCAGCTTCCTTCTCCAACCATCAGACATATATATATATATAATATGTGACACAAAATTGATTCAACCCATAAAATATCTCTTTAGTGGACCCCACCAAAATCACAATTTCATTTATCTTTTCCTTCATTTCCTCGCTTCGGCTGCTACACCATTGCTTCTTATCTTCATCTGACATGATAAAAATATGATATATATATAATGTAATAAAATCAAATCAAACCAATTTAAATAACTCCATCTTTCCATCATCACCAATCTATGTACATACATACATACCTATCATCAAAACCCACCAACTTACTAAATAAATAAATAAAACTAATTTAATAAAACAAACACTAATTAACGAAATATGGATAACCTAAACTCTCTAATTAGGCAAGTCTCTAATTATAAATAAATAATTAATTTTAACAACTAAAAATCATGAAATAATTATAATTTAAACTCTTAAAAATTCAAGTTGTCACAAATAATAATAATAATAATAATAATAATAATAATAGTAGTAGTAGGAAATACTGAAATTTAATAAATAAAAATTTAATAAATAAGTAAATATATAATATTAAAAAATTAAACTACTAAAATTTTAAAAAAAGAAAATCTAATTAGAGAAGGAAATATATAATATTTAAAAACTTATTTATTTAGGGAAAACACACTCCAATTTTATACAATTGCACTCCAATATTAAAGAAAATGACACATCTAAGTATCTAACTATAACTTTAAAAATTAATATAGTAATTATTTTTCTCAAATATCACAATTACCCGTTTTATTTATGGTAAGATTTTTTTGTCTTCCCCCTCTTTCCCAATTAACGTTCTTGTATCTTGCATTTTTTTTTTGTTAACCCCTCTTCTTCCCTTGCAACCTGCCTTTCTAAACTCTTTCTCTATTTTGTATTAACTTTCTGTTCTATTTCTCATTAAGTTTCAATATTGATTTTTGTAAGTAATAATGAAAGATTTTACAAATAAAAAAAATAACAGAGTTGAACAATAAAATTGATCTTGTTAGCATAAAAAAATATTGAATAACTATTAAAACTTCATCAACCATTAAACTCCTTTTGATAATAATAGTGATGAGAATGGTTATTTTATTATTTTATTTTTTTCCTGTTTTATGCTTTGAGTTTAGATTTAGATTTTTTGTTTTTTCTTGATGTGATTTTTAAGAATTAATTTGGATAGTGTTGAGAATGATAATTTTTTTAAAAAATAATAAATTCTATTTATGCTTTGAGTTTAGTTTGATTGTTTTTCTTGTGATTTTTAAGAATTAATTTGAATATTTTAGTTTACATTTTACTTCTTGATAAATAATGTTTAACTCTTTTAACAATAAAATTAAAAGATTTGAGATTTTTTTAAAAAATTAAGGGTCGTGATAGATGGGCCGAAAATCGTGGCCCAATTAGCTCGACAGAATAGATATGGTATTTCAGATAAGCAATTTTTTTTTTTTTTTTTTTGGTGTTAAGTGGATTCCCTATTTTTCCTCTTTCATCGTTACACAGCCGTCACCGGCATCAATCACTCGGCCGGCGAAACACATCAGCCGTTTCACACGCGATAGCTCGCCGTTGCCATCTCTCCACCATCCGAGCTCTCTGCCATCGCTCCATCACAGCCAGCCCTTCGCCACCGCCGGTCAGATCAAGCACATCCGAGCCCGTCTTCATCCTTGCTGTCCATCTCACCGTCATCCCGCCCTAGTCGGAATAGTGGCTTCTCTAGTCGCTGTTGTCGCCGCCGTTGGGCTATTCCTCCATCGTCGCCAGCGGGGTCTTCTTTTGCTCACGGCCCCGCTGCCGACCGTTTGCTCACTGCCATCACCACATCTCCGAGGTTGTCGTCCTCCAAGTTCTCTGCACCGCCTTGCACGACGGTCCGTCACCGCCGCTGCACCGCCGTTCCGTGCTCTCTGCACCATTTTTGCTCACCGGTCCATTCCGTCTTCGTCCTCGCCGGACTCTGTGCAGCAACCCTGTCCCGCCGATCTCACAGACCCGACCGATAAGGAAAAAAGGGGTTTGTTAAAAAGAGAGAGAAGAGAGGGGAGAGAGAAATTGAGGGACGTTGACAGCTGTACAGGGACAGCCACATGTTCTGTCTAACAAATCTGTTAAAATAATTGGTCCAAATATCATTTTCTAAAATGAGAGAGGTTGTTTTAATGAGTTTAAAGAACTTTTTTGTTAATTTTTTTTTTTAAAGTGCAAGTGTACAAAATTGGAGTGTGAGGTCGGTTATTTAATTCATAAAAAGAAATATAATTAGAGAAGAAAATTTAATAAAATAAAATATAATTAGAAAAAAAAATATATAATATAAAAAATTATTTATTTAATTCAATAACAAGAAATATTAATATTAACAATATAATAGTAAAAAATACTGAAATTTAATAAATAGAAATCTATTTAGAGAATGAAATATATATAATAAGAGTTTTAGTGTAATAAATAATTAGAAATAAAAATATTAGTAATAATAATATATTAGTAGGAAATATTTAATTAGAGAAATACTAATAATAATAATAATAATATAGTAATAAAAAATATTGAAATTTAATAAAAACAAATTTAATTAGAGAAGAAAATATATAATATTAAAAAAATTAAACTACTCAAATTCAATAAAAAAAAATGAATTCGAGAAGGAAATATAAAATATTAAAAAAAGTATATATTTAATTCAGTAAAAAAAATTTAATTAGAGAAGAAAATATAAAATATTAAAAAATTAAACTAGTCCCAAATTTTCTTTACACTTTTTTCTATTTTTTCTCTTCAAATCTAGGCTTTTCTAATCGGGTGAGACTATTTTCTCAAAGAAAGATATTTCCAATCTATCAGAACTTTCCGCTGTCCTGTCCCACCAATTACTGTTATTAGTCTTCCAATTAATTGGTAATTTTGTATACGGCATCCAATAAGTCATCCGAGACACGTATGGTCCGGTCTAGTCAAATCTTTCTTTTAATATTTTTCTCATTTTCACTTGTTATAAGATCCAAAAGTATTGTGATTTTTTTATATATTATTATTATTATTATAAGATAAGAAATTTGACGAGGCGGGCGATGGTTCACCTTGTACCTCTTTCCTTGCAGGTCCTCCGCACTATAAAAAATATAAGTGGGTCCACTTAAGTCTCTCTCTGTCAATGAATGGCCTCTTGACATTTTCAGCGTATACTTTTCAATATAAGGCCGGTGGACAATGAAGGAATCATATTATTCAGCAACCACAAATTTGATACTAAGACCCTTGAAGTCGAATGCCATTTTAGAGATTACAAAAATCGAGGGTGTGAGAGTGAGAGACACACAAATACAATGTTAATAATAGGTTCCTGGAGGCAGCTTTTCTTCATAGTTGTTGTTGTTGTTGGTCTCCTCCAGCCAGCTGCTGCCTACATAGGTCACAGTTGTCACGGTAGTTTCAACTACAGCAATGATAGTAGGTACAAGGCAAACCTTGACACCCTCCTCTCCTCCGTAGCTTCTGACATCAACTACTATGGCTTTTATAATTCATCCTATGGGGAAAACAATGACACAGTTAATGCAATCGCATTTTGTAGAGGAGATGTTGGGATCGATACCTGTCGTGTTTGTGTCAATCAATCTAGTGCTATAATCATAGAAAAATGTCCTAACAAAAAGGAGGCAATTGTATGGTATGACAATTGTACGTTGCGTTATTCCTACCGCTCTATATTCCATAAGATGGAAACTTCGCCTCCTTTTGCTATGAGCAACGAACATAATGCATCCAACGTGGATCAGATTGAGTCGCTGACAACCTTGTTGAACCGCCTAAAGGACAAAGCTGCTTCAGGTGACTCTAATATCAAGTTTGCAACGGGGAACGAGCAAGCACTGGCCTTCCGAATGTTTTTTGCGCTTGTGCAGTGCACCCCTGATTTATCTAAGCACCAATGCATCGATTGCCTAGATGGTGCTGCTACATGGATTCCAAGATCTTCTAATGGACAGCTTAATTGGGGAGCCAGAGTTAATTTACCCAGCTGCAATCTTAGGTTTGAGTACTATATTTTCTATGGTGACAACATCATGGATGCACCACCACCGCCACCACCACCGCCACAGCCACCGTCACCGCCACCGCCACCACCGGGTACAGGGCATCTACATAATATAAATGCATTAATTAGCACACACTTTTATTGCTTTTAAACTTGTAAATAAAAATTATACTCTTATTGTTTTTCTTGGTATTCTTTATATAGACTACTGCATCACTAGCTAGTTCTTTATGATCTATTTGGTAACTTAAAAAGTTTCTCGATTCCCTCTGAGTCGAGTTTGGATTGATAGCAGCCTATCCCAGCTCATATGGTATTAGGTTATTTGAGAGCTGATGATTTTGCAGTTGACTTTCTGTAGCAGTCTTCTGCCTAAAAATATATCACTCAATTTTTTTAAAGAAAAGAACCATTTTTTTTTTTTTTTTTTTTTAAGTCGAATTGATTTTTATTCATTAGATTAGATGAAGTGGATGGGACCAGTGTTAATGCCATCCACTTCATCAAATAAGTAATGCTATTTTGTGTTAAGCAACAGGTCTTCATGTTGTCTCCCTTTACTCTATATTTTTATTTTTTATTTTTTGTGTTTTTTACCAACTCCCTTTACTTTTTCTTACCAACTAAGAACTGGTTATGAAACACAACCATTTATTTGACAGTGCTACTACCTATTTTGTTAAACTTGTTTAATGTCCCCAATAGGTTTCATAATTGTAGTGTGGTCCTTACATAGTTTGATAGTTACACAAAATGGTAAAATTTATAGGATGGTTTACCTGCGTGTTATTGTCTATATATGGAAGACTAGTGTCCAATGGTCATGATGATTGAAAGAAAAAGTAATTACTTTTCAGAGACGAAAAAAAATGGAGCATTAGTTGCAATCAGCACAAGTGTATCTTCATTTGTTGTGCTAGCCCTGCTTGGGTCCAGTATTTACTACTATTGGAGAAGGAAAAGAAAAGAGGAAGGTATGTAATGCAGTTAACACGTACAGTTGTATATATTACCTTCCACGTTATGTCAGCTAATTCAATCCCTTCTCCTTGTTGCAGAAGACAGGGAAAATAGACAAGACGTTCAATTAATCAACTTGGCAAATGATAGAATACTTAATCATCCCTACGAGATTGAAAATTTAGGAGGAGAAAATGGGGTGAATTCTCAAGAATTACCTTTGATCCAATTGGATATCATACAGGCAGCTACACAACATTTTTCTGAAGAAAATAAGCTCGGAGAAGGTGGATTTGGTCCGGTGTACAAAGTAAATTTTGTGGTGTTATTACAAGTTCTTCAAGCAGCTATATATCTTGTCCAACTCTTGGAATTAATGTCTTATTATGGTATACAATGCATGACCTGGAAATTTATTAAATTACAGGGAACATTAGAAGATGGAAAGGAAATTGCGGTAAAGAGGCTCTCAAGAACTTCAGGCCAAGGACTGCAAGAGTTCAAGAATGAAGTTATTTTAATTGCAAAACTACAGCATAGGAATCTCGTCCGACTCTTGGGTTGCTGTTTGGATAGAAACGAATTCCTGCTCATCTATGAATACATGCCCAACAAGAGCTTAGATTTATTCCTTTTTGGTTTGACCCTTAATTACTTGCTAGCTACTATAATTTTTCATGCAATAAAGACGAGCCAAAAAATACTTGACAGAAGTAAGACACTAATATCATTTTGTTTTAATTCTTTCATGTAGATTCCACTAAAGGTGCACATCTGGATTGGAAAACACGTCTTAGAATTATTCATGGAATTGCTCGTGGTATTTTGTACCTGCACGAAGATTCTCGACTCAGAATTATTCATAGGGACCTTAAAACTAGCAACATTTTGCTGGATCATGAGATGAATCCAAAAGTTTCAGACTTCGGAATGGCAAGGATTTTTGGAGGAAATCAAATTGAAGCTAACACAAATAGAGTTGTTGGAACATAGTAATCTTCTTCCTTTCTTTTCTAATTTATTTATTTTTCTAATTTCAATTTATTATTATTATTTCCGGTATCAACATTGACCTCTTTCAATATGTTAGTGAACAAAACCAGTAAGTGGAAGGGTTGTGATGGAACTTTGGCATACTCTGTTATCCACCAGTTCCTAAAGTGCTTGTAGCATCTAATTTGATATACAATATATATATTTTTCTTTGGGGAGTTGAAACTAATCTGATATCATCATATTTGTTATTCTTGTTTCAAATAGTGGGTATATGGCACCAGAGTATGCTATGCGGGGATTATTTTCTATTAAATCAGATGTTTATAGTTTTGGAGTTCTACTACTAGAGATAGTGAGTGGGAAAAAGAATAACAACCTCTACCATTTTGAACATGGTCAAAGCCTCCTTACATTCGTAAGTTTCTATCATTTTATTAATGTAATTTTATTAAAATTAAAGTATGTAGCACTTCCATCTAGCTTATGAGTAATTTTATTAATATTAACTTGATGAGTGGTATGATATGACAGGCATGGAAATTGTGGTGTGAAAACGAAGGGTTGGAGATGATGGACCCATTACTTGGGCAGTCTTTTGTGGCAGAGGAAGTATTGAAATGCATCCATATAGGATTGTTATGTGTCCAGGACGATCCAGCACATAGGCCAACCATGTCATATGTAGTCCTTATGCTGGGGAGCGACAGCATAACCCTTCCTCCACCAGCACAACCAGTATTTTCTTTTGAAACAGTACAATCCTCACAGGATAATAAGACATCCTCCAATAACGTAGTAACTATTTCAAATGTATCACCCAGGTGACTTTATTTGTTAGTTTTTTTTTTTGGTTCTATGTAATTGATGTGTAAGCAAATAAAGTAGCATACAGAGCAATGTCAGACATCCATGTTCACTAGTTCATCACAAGCTGAACATGCTCATGTTCTCCTTATCTAACACCTTTTTTCTTTTGAAGACTGGAAGCGAATTAAACCACGTGAATGGGCTTGGCTTCCCTTTTGGAATATGGACAGTAAGAGAAAATGCAGAACCACTATAAGCTACAACAATCAACATAATATGGAGCACTCCACTATAAGCTACAACAATCAACATAATATGGAGCACTCGTATTTTGATGGGTTGGGATTTTGATTCTCATAACCTGAAAATATATATTGACAACCCCATGGGAGGCTTTTGCTCTTCCGCTGTATACTGGGTTTTGTTCCTTTTCAATTTGATTTTCGTCCTTCATTTGTTTATTTGTAAATAGTAGCCAATTTGTAATTTCTTTTATTTATTTATTTATTTATTTTTATTATGTAAATAATCTGATTTTGTTTCTTCTATGATCTGAATTTAAATTCACCCATTAATATTCAATTTTAGTTTTTATTACAGTGGGATCTCTGCTAATTTTCTCTGTTCTCATCTTTGGTAAAAATCTTCTATTTTAATTGATTATTTTTTAAACAAAAAAAACTTACTAAGATCTTGTAACTTCAGTATATTCTTACAAAAACTCGGTATGGCGTAGCTATTAGGGTTTCACATACACAATTGGCAAATATAACAGATAAAAAAAAAAAAAATCAAACACAAGCAAAACATGAGATTTATGTGGTTCGGCAAATTGCCTAATTGTTAGAATTTTTGAATGAAAATTGTTTCATTAGTAATCAATAGATGCCTTTGACGGAATATATGTGATCATTAATTGGTCGTGGGATGAAAAGATGTAACTCACAACCAACAGACATAACTTACTTAATGTGAACCATTGCAACCTATTGCAATGGTTGTGTCCAGTGATGAATAGACACATATAAATGGTTGTGTCCAGTGCGAAGAGACACATATAAATGGTTGTGTCCAGTGATAAAATGGTTGTGTCCAGTGATGAAGAGACATATATAAATGGTTGTGTCTAATGGTGAAAAGATGCACCCAATCCAAAAATGCATTTCTATTTCTATAAATATAAATATGAATGGTTGTGTTCAACGATGAAGAGATGTACCTAATCCAAAAAGGCATTTCTATATCTATAAATACCCCTTGGATTGCCATTTGCAAATCGTTCAATTCAAATTTTTTTTTTCTCTCCCTCTTTAGACTTGAACCCAACCCAAGTGAGTTCAAACCATAGGTCAAGTGGTCCGAGCCATTTAGACCCTAATCCAATTTCATAGAACCATATTAAGATTGGTTCGAACCATTTGGTTTGGATTGCATCCAATTTAGCATTTGTAAAGTATAGATGCATTTTTAAGTCAGAGAGAGTATTACACGGAAGAAGTTCGCCGTATCCACGAGTTTGTAGTGCTGCTGCTAATTGATGTAGTCCGTTGTATCCTGGGAGATAGACGCCATTGAGTCTGTTAGCACCATAGCGGAACGAATTTGTCTTAAGGATATAGTATTCAATACTAGCCTCGGTCTAGATTCTTTATTTATTATTTATTAATTGCTTTATTTTGCATATTTAATTAAATATATAGTTGCATATTTAATTAATCATTTCTTAGCATATTGTTAATTATCTCATAGCATATAAGTATAAGGGTTGTTATATCTTAAATGTTACATAAAGCATATATTTTATTAACAGTCCACGGGCGGAGAACAACTAACTTTACTTCAAAAACTTGATTACACACTATTCTCTCTCTCACAATCTCAACTCTCTCTTTTTCTCTACAATTTTCTTTCTCATACTCATATCTATTTATAGAGTCTTCAAATTCAAATCCTTGTTGGACAAGGATTAATTTGCCCACAAGGAGTTACCATATCAGTTTTTAACACCTACAAAGAGTTACCATATTAGTTTCCAACTCTAAAATAGATGTATAATTTCTTCCCCAATTTTTTTGGCTTCTAAAACCAATTAGGTAACTGTTTCTCACAGTTTCTAATTAACACGCTGTCCAAGTTAAACCGGTTCAGTAATTTGGCTACTGGTTCTCACTGAACAGTGGCTGATCTTCAACGTTTCTTGATTTGACTATCACTCAGTGGAACCGGTACCAAAACCTCTGAACCGGTTCCAACAAGTCAGTTGCCAAAACATAAAAACCATTTAACTTCCCAAATCCTTCACGTAATCAACATGTGATCAAAATATGTCTTTATGTATGTGCTCCACCTCAATCAAAGATCTTTTCGTAACTCCACCTTAATTAAAGCACTATGATGAATTTGAGAAACACTATAACAGTAGTAACTGAAAAATTGATCCTGGGCCTCTGAGAAGTTCTTAATTCAAATTTATTTATTTTATTATTTATTAATTGATTTTTAATTTATTATTATTATTATTATTTTTTGTGGAGGTGGGATAAAAGAAAAGAAAGAAGTCTCTCTCTCAAATTCTTTCTCTGGAGGTCAAAATGATGTAATAATTTTTCATGCTTGAGTTTTTCCTTTTTGTTTTATTTTATTTTATTTTAACAATTTGTTAGTTTAATCATTTTGCATTTTTGAAATTTCTAACATTTCCAATATTATTTCTTTAAGAAGACACATGATGGAATCAAATTAACGGAATTTTTTTTTTCGTACATATATTTATGGAATTTTCACTACTTCCAACTTGAATTAATAAAATATGTGTAGGTTCCAACTTGAATTAATAAAATATGTGTAGGTTCCAACTTGAATTAATAAAATATGTGTAGGTGTTTGTGTGTGTGTGTGTGTGCGCGCGCGCGCGCAACTTGAATTAATAAAATATGTGTAGGTGTGTGTGCGCGCGCGCGCAACTTGAATTAATAAAATATGTATGTGTGTGTCTATAGATATAAAACTTTGTGATCAAATTTTGTTATATCGTAAAAAAAATAGTAATTAATGATCAAATTTTGTTATGATATATATATAATGATCAAAATTTGTTGTTTCATAAAAAAATTCAATTAGCTCCACTACAAATTCTCAAGCAGTTTGGGAACAGAGAAACAGAGCTGCTGGAAAAATGAAAGAGGTTAGAGCAATTCCAATGCTCTCCCATTTGAGCACTCAAACTCAAAATATGAGAGGTGAGTAAAAAATGAGCTCTCTAATGGAATCTCATTTGTGCTCTCAGCCAATATTTTTTTGGCAGACCTCTTATTTCTCATACGACGCCGTTCCTCAATCTTCCTCAATCATATCCATCTCTCCCCCTTTCATTGCAGTCCAAGAAAATGTCTGAACCAGAGGAAGAAAATCAGACTTCCACTCCCAAGTCAAAGGAACTGACTCCACGACCTGCCCATCTCATCTGAGCTTCCCCTTTGCTCGCCGGCAGCCGTTCCAAAGCTCTTTGCCATTACATCATTGAAATTCCAACAAAAACATATAATCTCAATCCAAAAGCTGTTCCACACACAAACACATATATATATGATTTTATCCCAAAGTTATTCCAACAATTCAAAAACCCATCCAACACATTGTATACAAAATTTAAACTCAAAATCCACAAACTTTCATACATTCAACTATTTAAGAAAAGAAAAAAAAAATGGTCATGTTGCTGCTAGATACAGACAGAGATAGAGATAGAGAGAGAAAAAGAGATACAGAAAACCGCAGCCCCTACTTAGACCATCTATGCAAGTGCTACAAGCGCAGTGACAAAGATAGCAAGGACCGACAGAGAACGGCGGCTGCAGTAGCCGAGTTTCTAGCCCAGATTGTGAGGGAACATAAGGGTTCCACAAAGGGAGGTGGTGTTGACGGTGAGTCAGAAGAAGAGATCAGATTGGGGAGGTGATACAGAGGTAGATCCATGAGATATAGATGATGAAAAAATTGGGGATTTGAACTTCTTTCTCTAGAGCGGCCGTAAAATGACAGATATGGACCTTTGTGGTGTTTTGATAGGGTTTACTTATTATGTAAATGACAAGTTTGCCCATTTATTTTTATATAATTTACAAGTTTAATTAATTTTTATTTATTTATTTTTAATAAGGCAAATAAGCTAAATAAAATAAAAACACTCAGGAAAAAAAAATTTGGTTGTTGAAAATTGATAGTTGAAAAAGGTAGTTGTGAATGGTAGTTGAAAAAGAATGGTTGTTGTGTCAAAAAATAGCATTTTGGATGAAATGAACCATTGTAGCAGAATTGCTAAAATAAAGCATTTTGACACTGTACCTCCTCTCAAAATATAGCTTTGGCATGCAAAAATGACATTTAGTATTAGAGATGCTCTTAGTGAGAGAAATAGAGAGAATACACAAAGGGTAAAATTGGTATTAAAGTGGTATTTTTGGTCACATGACCTGCACATGTCATTTTTTGATGCCAGAATCCCTTCTTTGCTCACTTTACATTCTACAGGGGTAAAATTTGAACACAAGGGACATTATTTGCACATTTTTTAAATTACAAAGGGATTTTTTTTGCACTTCGCCCAATAATAAAGAAAGGGATAAGAGTTTTCAAAATAAATAGACCCCCAAAATCCTCCTTTTCATATTAAGTATTTCTTGGAAAGTTGTTTTGTTATGGTATTTTTACTTGTTATTTAACCCAAAAGTATTTTGAAACTCTGATTTAGCAAATATATATATATATATATATATATATATATATATATATATATATATATAAAGATCCTAACAACGAAACCAAACATTAAGGGTTACTTTATTCAGTGTTTTTTCAAAAAACTAAAACTAAAACTAAAAAATTGTACAAAAATTTGTTAGATTGGCATTTCTGAAAATTATTTTGTAAAAAATTAGTTAAAAATGACTATATTTTACATTGTTGAGAATTAAATTTATATCCGTCAACACTATAGCATGCATGCACATTCATGAGTATGGCTTTTGAGTTTCTATCTTCCCCTTAGGTCCATCAATATGACAACTAAGTTCGATGTACATGGTTAATAAATTGACCAATTCCAAATCTCAATTTAATCTGCTAGTTTAATAAAATCTTCACCAATTCCAATGACTTAATTGCAAGATTTTGTTCATAAATATAAGCACAGAACCAAGTAGTTTTCTGGGGTGGAGGAAAACTAATAATAATGGTGAAGATGTAATGAAAAATGTTCTCTCTATTTGAAAAACCAATTCCTTACACTTCAAAATATCTTAACCGCTTTTCCCTCTCTTTTCATTATATTTATAGACTTTTACAATTGTTCTAGAAGCTTCTTCTTTAGTCTTCTATGTTGGACCGATCCTTTGGGCTCCTCTTGGACACCGGCCCATTTTCTTTGCTTTGAGATTGGGCTTGGAGATTGTCTTAATGGACATTGGGCCTGATGCGTGGTCATCTGATTGGGCTAAATGTTCTTTCCTAATCCAATCTTCAGTGATATGGGTCGTACCCGGGCCAGGCCATTTTTGGTATCTTCACTTGCCCCTATAATATCTCCTTAATTGATTAGG